TATGTGTAGGAAAAGACCTAAACGTGTAGGTCAAATCCTAGTCAAATCAGGAGACGAACTAAGTCTTCAAAACTCGGAATGAATCTCGCCCAGACCTGTCGTCAGGCATAACGCCTAGTTAAGCTTGGCCTCTACATTGCCTCGCTAGTCTATCGCCAGTTACAAGCCTAGCGTCGCCAGCTTCTCTTGTTCAATTGCTCCCGCACACGTTTTCGTCTTGTAAGTATCTTTTTTCTCTACTTTTATCTCCAATTCACCGACACATAAAATGGACCTATTGCGCGCAAATAAAGTAAATTTATTATTAAACGTATAAAATGCAAGGCGAATAATGTGCTAAACCATGAATTATAGCCACACATCAGGTAACATTCTTCATTAAATGTCATTTGATGCCAAACATTCGTTTGCCTCCGTTGATCGCGTTCGCTTCGGGATCTACTCGATACTAACTGAAGTTGTTGTCTTCGATATTGGTTCCTACTCTATTATTATATTTCAAATCTAACCGTATTTTCGCAATTAGTGCAATATTAATTAAGTGATATGTTTTAGGAGGGATAACATATTTTAAAAATAGTCCTATAATTAAGGTTATTACATGTATTTTTTAAAAATGTGCAAGAATCTTAAAATTTTTATATTAATCGGCTATTGTACCACAACCATAATTCACTCCTGTCCTGTCATTAGAAGCGTTTATCTATATCTATATCTATCTATCTATATTTATATCTATATCTATATTTATATCTATCTATACTATATTAAAAGCACGAAGGCCTTTAGCGAAATGTCGTTCGCCTTTTTTACCCTTCATAAATATCATATATGTTGAATAAAATTGTAATTGCAACTAATTTAGATATTTTATTTTCTTTAATTTCATTCCAAATTTGGAGACTTGAATAAATTTGTGTATATTAATTTTTTGTCAAACCCGAGTTAGAATTAAACATTAATGTATGTAACAAAATTCTATTCCATCCCGTTAGGGGTGTCAATGGATATTCGAAAACCGACTAAATCGACCAAACCGTACTGCACTGAACCGATTTTTAGGTTTCTTTTTAAGAAACCGTAGGTTTTTATATAAATCTATAACCGCACAGATAATTACGGTAGGTTTTTTATTTTATAAAAACAAACCGAAAAAAACCGAACCGTACCGAATAAATTTTACATGCATAAAATATATTTACTTAGTAAGTTTAAAAATAATAATGCATTAAATTTTTTTTGAGCCTTGGAATTATGAAAACTATTACAAGCCAACAAGTAATTAAACTCAAAATACTAATTTCTAAAACCTATTATGCTACTTCTACTTAAATTAAGTTATTTCAAGTATATTTATTAGCAAGACACAAAGTATTCTAGCGATTATGAGTAGCAAACTACAATGTATTGAATATATTTCCTTTCATATAATTTAGATTTATCTTTTTGAATATTTAATCTTCTATAGAATTTGTTCTTGAGTCGTCCCAGCTTGGTATATCTTTCAACTCGTATGATTAATATTTTATTTGCCTTTGTTTGATTTCTTTTACGCTATTGTAGAATAGTAGATGTATCTATACTTTAGCCATTTTTTTTAAATTCATCACCCTTTAAACAGTAAAAATGTCTAGAGAGTTTTGCTAAGTCCTATAAAAGAACGTATATTATTGCTCTTCTACTTCTACTGGTGAATTTACATGATATTAAAAAAAATACTGAAAATTAACTGAAACGTACCGATATCGAAGAGAAACCGACATGATTGGGACGGTTTCGAAAAGTCTAATTTTGGTTATACATAATAGAATACCGAAAAATTAGTATGGTACAAATTTTATAAAATAACCGGCTGAACCGAACCATTGACACCCCACATCCCGTAATAATTCTATTTTACTTCAATCAGAACAATCATTAATGTATCATCACAATTAATACTTACCCGAAAAATGAGCAATTACACGTGTATGTAACAAAATTCTACTCCATCCCGAATTTCTTCACCACTAGAGTCGTACATGTATATTTGTTTTTTATACCAAGTCTTCGTGGAGTCCAAGTTAAAATCAAACATTAAATTATCATCACAACGAATAATTCAGTATTTTGGTTATTCTTATCTTTCTTTTAAAAATTAAACCCAACTAAGTTACATTAGTTAAATTTCAAAATAGCGAAAAGGAAAGAAAGGAAACCAAATTCCAATAATCTTACATATGTATAATTCAATATTTTGTTACTCTGATTATTTTTTTTTAAAAAAAATTGAAACCAGCTAAATAGCAGCATATTTCAAAATTACAAAATCTAGGAGAAGAAATTGATTTTTCTTAAAGTAAAATATGCAAAGAATTTTTAAGGAAATACTCCTAGGATAGAGGTTTCTTCTTTGAAGACTATGTCAGTGTTAAATTGAGTGTTGTGATAGGGTATGTTGGTAGCAATATGTTGATGCTTAGATTTATTTTGCTTCTTCGAGAGGAATATTTGGTTGATGATTTTTTTAAGATATTGGTGGATGATCGAGGACTTTTAAAATTTATATGACTTTTAAAAAGTTATTAACCAATTCAGACAAGGTACACGCGCGATGAGATTAGTTATGTTAAAAAATGAATGAGCAAAGTCAGTTTATGTTACCAATAAGGGTTAGTAGTGGAGTAGTAAATACTACTTCAACCTTAACCAGAAATTTCAGATTTGAGTTTTGGGTATGAAATCATTCTTTTGTTAGCGAGCATTTTAGCTTTAATGTAAAATTTTCCAATGCAAATCCGAATTTAATCGGACGCCTGTACAAATATCAAACAGAAACCAAAACAAAAAGTCAGTTAGACACTAAAGAGAAGGAAAAGAGAGAAAAGCTAGTAAAAGGCAAGAAAGTAAGGTGGAGGGATAAAATTTGAAAGGAAAGAAAGCCACTTTTGCTAAATTGACACTCTTGCAAAAGTATGAGTGTATGACATTGTCCAACATAAAATTCACAAACTACCTTAAAATAAGCATTAGGTAGAAACATTAACTTTTCCATTTAAGTAGTGCGGTTTTCAGCATTGGTTGTTGAACTCTCCATATTTTCCTGCTTTGGGGGCAAATAGAAGATTTCTTGAGTAATTTTTAAGTCAAAGGGTATATGTAAATGGAATATACTAATTCTAATTACCAAAAAATATGGAATACACTAATTTTAAATTCAAATTCAAATTTACTGCTAGATTTAACAAATAAAAAATGGATTATGGCTTGTGCCCACATACAACTTGCATAGAATGGGTAAAGAATATTGGTGGGTTAAGTAGGAATTGGAGATATTATGTCCCCTTGGTTTATTCAACCAATTTATTACTATGATTTTGTTCATATTTAAATACGATGCTTAAAGATAAGGAAAACTTAGAGTCAAAAAGCAAATTTTACCTTTTGTCAATTATTTTATTTCTATAATTGAATTGTATATTACTTAAAAGATAGTAGTAACAAGCAAGGGGTTGAAAGGGGGGAAAGCACAAGTTGGGTTAAATCCAACTAATACCATCCAAAACAAAGAAATTTATGCCTTGTGAACTGTCATAGACTGAGATTTTTGTGATGTGGGCTTTTCCTTTCATATTTGAATTCGGTAGTGACAAAAGTGTATAAGATTTGTATATTTTTTATNAAGTAGAAGGTGAAATTTGATAGGAGTAAAATAATTTCAGTCATTCGCAAAATATGGTAAGAGGTCTAATCACATGATGAGAGGTACAAAAATCTAATATTTATTTTCTCTTTTTACAAAGGGATATAAACTTTAAATATGGTCAATTGACACTAAGGACAACTTTTTTCGGTTCACGTTTCTTTATTTTAAATTTAAATTGCCTAATGGTCACGGTAAACTTTCAAAAAAATAAAACCAATTCAAATCACTTCATTAGGTTGTTTGAACAATCTTTTTTATCTTAATGGATTTTGATAAGAAAACGCAAAGTATTTTCACTTTGACTTGATCAATCTCATATATATCTTACGTAAAACTGCCTAATGGCCACAAAATCATGTATACATTCTAAGGAGGATTCGTGAACGCGAAAAAGTATCTACATTACATTTATATGTAGACGTGCTTACGGACACACATATATTTGCAAAAAATGAGCTAAGCTTTTTAGGTTTAATTTCTTTTCGATTTTAGGTTTAATATTGTTCATCATAAAGCCTAATGAGAAGGCTCTAGGTTTAACATTTTCAACTATTTTTTCCCCTTGGTCAAACCAAAACTTTCTTACCCTTCTAAACAGTAGTCAAAAAGAAAATTCATTTCTTGTAAAATAGTGTTTAGCTTCAGAAAGTTCAATGTAGTGAGTTCTTAGGAAAACTTAATGCAGTTAGCAAGAATCCAATTTGTCAATGGCAGGCCGGCCCAGTTACACAAGTTGGAGCACCTTTCTTAATGTGAAAAATTGGTAAATAGTCCTTTTTAGGTTGGTTATTATTAGCTATATTTTAAATCGAATTGGCAAAATAGTCACTTATTAATGCGAAAATACAAGTCTAGACAAAAATACCTTTATCTAAAATATGAAGTAACTCCAGGAACAACTATTGAATTTTATAAATTCAAAATTCAGGAATTATTCCGGGAGTTAGAATGGCCTAAAGTAGTAACTCTCAATTGTTAGTATAATGTGGGATTTAAAAACTATAAAATCGTTCCAGGATTTTGCACTAGTAAAAGTTCAAAAACTAGTAACCTATCTTGAATTCTTTTTATTTAAAGGTTAAAAATTTCTGAAGTATAATATGAATTCCAAAACCATAAAATTCTGCCCATAAGCAAGCGGGGGTCAAAAGTTAAAGACCACCCCCAAAAAGTGTTATAATTTTGCAACTTTGCGCCTCAAAAGGTGACAGCCAAATTACGTAATCTCACACAGACAGCGTAGAGGCCCAACAGCGCAACCCAACAATCAAAAATCAAAAAGTCCAAAACTAAACAAATGAGATTGGACATTAGGCTTCCATCTTTTCATCAGTTAAGAGTTCCCAATCTTCATCGTCTACTACAGCAGCCTTCAGGCTTTCAACCTTCTTCTTGCCAATCGCTATCTTCATTAAATTAGCAATAAATATTCTTGCCCTAGCTTTTCAAGAGCAAAGGCCGCTGCTCTTACTACCCCGTCAAGCATGGGGAAGACAGCCTCACGGTCAGATCTTAAATACTAGTACTCTTAATTAAGCTTTGTATTATCTATTACCCTTAGTTTTTCTCTCTCACTCTCTAATTTTTCTTCGCTTTTTTGTATTTCAGCGGAGATGCAGCCGCTCGAGCTGAACGTAAATTCGAAAAGAAGCTCGAGTTTTATGCTAGTAATTTTCTTGACCTTATACTCGATTTTGTCTAATAGATGTCTCCTTTTTTTTTTTTTTGTGTGTGTGTGTGTTATGGCATATCTATTTTGAGTTCACATATCTAGTGATTGCATTCTACTAATGTATATTTTAACTGGAAATTTCGCATGGTTCTTTCTACAGAGGTTAAACAGACAGTTACTTCATTAGCTGCCCAGAAGTCTATTACTAAGGTTTGTGTTCTTGCCCCCTTTTTTTGCAGAAACTTTGTTTATTGTCCTAGGGTTTCAATCATTGTTGACTTTAGCTATCGAGTCTTTAACTTGATACCGTAAACATACTCCACTAGGGGCAGGGGCAGGGGCGTACGCAGGATGTTTTGGTAAGTGGTGTCAAAATTTGAAAACATGAATGAATGAATAAATCACTATAATGAAAAGCGGTGTCATTTTTTTATATTTATACCCAATATTGTCATTTTGTATACTTTCTAAATATACATATTTAACAAAAATTGCGGCGAAGCGGTGTCACGTGACACTGGTTGCCGCAAGGTGTATCCGCCCCTGCTCGGGGGGTTTAGAACTGTAGAAATGAATGATGCACCTAAAATATTTCGCCTCTATCTCTGTATCCAAAAATAGATGAAGTAAAAGACTTAGAATAAAGGCTTATTCTGCTTTCCTTTCATACTGGCTGATTCACTCTCTTTCACGTGCTCTAGTTTAATATACGGGACAACATGCTGGATGAAATTGGGAGTGTACATCCGTGGGTGCTTCCTATATTTGACTTAACTGTGAAAAATAAAAATTGAAGAAGACTGCCAGATAGTGAAGGTTGCATTGGTGTCAAGTATCCATATTAATTTTGATTAGTTCTTCTAAAGGAGACAGCTTGACCATAGTGGTCTAATAAGTCTCATCTTGATCATTTATTTTGGTAAATAAACAATGTTATTACCACAGAGAATATTTATAGCTCAATACCAGAAAAAAAAAAACTCTCCTAAACTGTCAACCTACCAGTTACAGAGAGAAGAGAAAGTCTCATCTTGATTAATTGCATCTTTGCTGCTCTTTTTCTGCTTTTTGTCGCTCTAAATGGGATCACATCCCAAGAGATGCTCTTGGAAAGTTGTGACTTTCTTAAGTTGTATGATGTTGTTTTCACCTGAGCTAATGCGTCAATTGGGAATTAGGATACAGGTTCTTTGAAGTTGATTATTCATGTTGTCGCTGTATTTTTTGCAATTCTGAGTCTCGATATCTATTGTTCTTGCATAATCGTCCTTAAGTTCGCCGTTAACTCTAAGATGCAAAGAAGAGTAACATAAGTTCTAGTTGCCAACTTGCTATCCAGCACGCTTTCACCAGCCCTAAAAATAACTTCCTATTTATTTTTTCCCATTTTCGTGCACTCCTAAAATATCAGTTCCTGTGTCCAAATTTCTTTCATGTGGTTTCAGTCACTTAACTCTTAATTATTAAGCCCCAAAAATTTGCATCTAGCGTCATGGTTTAATGTTTCAAGGAAGAGCCTACAGTGGTTCTACACAATGATGGCTGGAGGATATACTTCATTTTTAATGTTGGATATTGGAGTTGGTTACGTGATACAATATAACATAGTGCTACAGTTCTCTGTTAATGAGTTGACTAATTAAATTTAGAAGGTTCTGTTCTTGTTGATGCTTCTCTTGGAGCTATACCCTATGATTTTTCTGCTGAATTGGTGTTCGTTTTTCTGCCAGAAGAAGAAAGTAAGAAGTAGGCAAAAGAAATTAAAGGCTTATGATCTTTCCGAGCTTTCGGAGTTTCTCCCAGAGTTCAAAGCCTCTCAGCAACCAAAACCTGCAGAGTTCAAGTTGAAAAGTAAAAATAGGAAAAATTTAGTGTGAGTACTTAAAACTTCGTTTTATCTTTCAAAGCCCTTGTCCTTTGTATGATAGAGAAATTTGTTCCTAATATAAGAATGTATACTTCCAACAGGTTGACGGAAAGCAATCAGTTTCAAGCAGTTGTTAATCATCCTGCTTTCCAGGCAGATCCGTTGGGTGCCATTCATCAACATCTTCAAAGCACGCAGCCGACCCTGGATGAAAAGCCAAAAAGAAGGGAAAACAAAAATGGAAATAGAAAAGGAAAAAAGAAATCTAAAGCCTCGGCCGCGCCACAGTCAATGGAGATATAGTGTGCACTTCAACTTCACTTTCTTTTCTGCTTCTTCTAGTAAAGATCCCCATTTGCCAAATTTTGGCGTGTTGGTCTGTGTTCATAGTAGTTCATAGTGCTATACTAAATTAGCAGCTATTTACCGCTATGATCTTTCCTAGAATGTGCAGGAAAAGCGATTAAGGTAAATCTTATCGTTCTCTTGCCTTGTCATGTATCGGTCGAATACCATCATTCATCCGTTGAGTTAGTTGCAACTTGCAAAAGGTACGCAAAGAGCGTTACATTAAAGTATTTTGCAAAGAGCCTCACTGCAATTTGTCTGGTTTAACATAGAAGATTCACTACAATTCAACAGAATTTAGAAAAACAATTTTGGTTTAATTAAAACTTCCTATTTTCAAACTTTATTTCAGATCTTTTTTTCTTTTAATGATGTAATATGCGCACTTCATTTTTCCTGGTTCTTTAAGTTGTTAATATCAACCTTTGATGTTGTACGATGCCGGCTTGTTCATTCTTCTTTCATCATATTTCATTTTTTAGTTGAATATTGACTTTGCGCAAACGTAATTAAAGTTAAACAACAATGAAAGCCCCAATTGAGTTAAGTGGCAGAGTATGAAAGTGTATTGTGTATATAGGTGAGAATTTGTTTTTAGGTGTACCTTGGATCATTACAACGACTGATGAGTTAGTCGTTGTTTGCAAATTTTGAATCTGTACTTGTGAATTGTGATAGTGCTAACCTTACGTTTTAAACTTGAGCTCTCTTATACCCTTCTGTAGTAATGATCATTATCAGGAGAGCTGCAAAAGCCAATTCCAAGCGTCTTCCCTTCGAGCCTTAGACTATTGCTTATAGAGGCGGAATTAGGAGTTTGAAATTTTACTACTTTTTAGTTATTATATTTTAAATTAAATGTATACTATTCAATGAATTTCAAAGACAAATATTTGGACCTATAGACTGGTGTGTTGGAAGGTCAGAAGGACAAGTATTATAAGCTTTAAATGGAATTCGCCAACTCAAACAGCTTTTAACATTTATCTAGTTAAGCTGTTTGATCATCTTTTGGTTAGATCAATTAGAAAAGAGAGTTTAAATGCATACTCGTTTTTTTGTTTGTTGTCAAAGTATAAATGGACACTATTGAATGAAATAATCCAAAAGGGCCTTCTAAGATACCAGTTACAAGTCAAATAAAAGACTTTCAATCTCTAGAAGAAATTTTTATATGTACCGTATCAGACAGAATATCTTCAAAATGTTATATCCCGTGGTACAAATATTATATTTTCATAGTTTGAACTTTGAACTGCAAACAATTAAAATCAAATTTAACACGTTGGGAGAACAAAAAGTACACTTCGTTCTCATGTTTTACACGAATATCCTAAATCCGTCATAGGATTTGGTTCCTCTAAACACACGCGTACTTCCCACGTGTCGAAATTCCTTTCCCGCGTTGACGTGTCCCCTCTTCATTTGTCTTATGACAACTTCCTTTCTCCTCTTCTTTTCTTGAATTTATATATATTTTCTCGTTTCCTTCCTCTGTTTCATTCCTTGCTAAGGAAACTATCTTTCTTCTCATTATATATATATATATATATACATAGCAATATATTTTTCTGTCTTGAACAAAGTCTTAAATTTCAATAGTGGTGAAGATGGTGAAAATTAAAAAGTTTCAGGTGAAAATTAGGACGTTGAAACTAGAAGTAGGAGTTGATGATAATATTGAAGCATTTGATGGGCTGAAGATGATGGCAATTAAGATGAAATGGAAAGGTGAACCCAAGTTTGGATTAGTTCCATTTCATTATAAGCAGAAGAAAGATGTTACAAGTCGGAGAATCGTGAAGAAATTAGGACCAGCTAATAATTCCATTGAATGGAATAATGATGGAGATGAGTTTGAGAATGTTTGTTGTTTTACAGAGGTTTCTGGTTGTTATCAAAGTCTAAAGTATTCGCCTTGGGATGTCTCATTTAATGTTTTGTACTCAAATAATTTGGAGGCAAAAATGGTGGTGATTGGAAAAATGGTGGTTAATGTGGCAGAAATGGCTTCAAAAATGGTGTCTGAAGTTGAAGAGAAGCTTCCCATTACTTTGAATATTGGTAGAGTTTCTATATCAGCCACTCTCCATGTAAGTTCCATCCTTTTGTTCTTCTTTACCTACGAATTTCGTCGCTAAATTGCCCAAGCTAACTAATTTTTTTTTTATAATTCGTTGTTAATCTGTTGTTAAACTAATTTAACAAGGAAATATGCTGTTTAGTGACACAATCTGTACGATGCTAATTCCTGTTTTTTTAGTTTACTTTTTTCTTCTCTTTTTAAAGGAATTTTTGTGTTAGCTTCTTAGCTTAGAAGTACCTTAAGATTTCCATAAATCTTCGAATTGTTACCTTTGTTATGTTATTTCTTGGGATAATTAAAACTTAAAATGTGTAATCAAACTTTCTTGACACGATTTCACAGCAGAATATTAGTTTTATTTTCATAATGTTTCCTTTTGGGATTAATCCCATATTTGGTCAAACTTCTACGCTATTCGCTTGTTGTTGTTGTTTTTTTTTTTTTTTGGGGGGGGGGGGAAGGTTGTTTGACAAGTCAAATATCTGAGGTTAGTAATGAATAAATCTTGCCGATAATTTAGTAGAATATGTTCTCTGACTTGTTAATAAACTAAGCAAAAGTGACAGCTTTTAGCTTACTAATTCCTTGATGTTCCAGCAGTTTAAGGGACAATGATTGATAATGTACTCAATCCTATTCTATGCTCCCTTCATTTCACTTTTTGAATATATTTGATTGGACTTAAAATTTTAAAAAAATGAGAACGATTTTTTAAATTTATGGTCCAAAATAATTCATAAATATTTTGTCTGTCCATAAATTATCTTATTTATAATAAAATGAAAATTTTAAAATTACATTACTTTCCAAATTTAGAAAGAAATTATTTTAAAAGAAAATTAATTAAAAAGAAAATAGGTTCAATCTTTTTGAAAAGGAGAGTATATATGTTAATTTATGTTGTACGCCTATTTTTCTTGACCACATTCTAGAAAAATAATAATGTGAAAGTCCCTCTTTTTCTGAAAATTATTAAATAAAATGACTCAATAAAGCCATTTAGTATTTTTAATTACCCATTATATATGATTATTCTGACTTTGTCAATTTCAATAATTCTAGGTCAAAATAAAATTTGCTGAGATAAGAGATGTTCAAGACTCGGCGGGTTGTGCCCGTGACTCAAACGAGTCAAGTCAGCTGCAAAGTTTAGCTAAGAGTAAAAGTCTGTGTGACAGAAAAGCACAGAAGGAGAACCAGCTGAGTGAAGAAGAGTCATCCACATTTGAAGCAGTGGAACCAAAGACGATTGAGTCGGGATCGATGCCGAGTTTAGAAACTCAGGCTGACTCAGTCAACAAAGTTGGGTGGTTCTCTTGGAAGAGAAGGAGATTGAGTCTTAAACCAACGAGGAGTAAAGCAGAACCGTTGATTAAAAAAAGTCGTAGCTTTAGTGTTGTGTCGCGATTCAGCCAACAGGTACATTTGCAAAAACTAAACTAAACTAATTAACGTTTCTGCATATCTTATTACAAGGACATTTAATAGTACTATATTTGTTTTTACAAAATATTTGTACAAACTATTATTTATCTTTCTTTAAACATCTCACTTAATTAACAATCTTCTAATTAAAACAAGGTGGATTTGGAAAAATAAATGTAACAAATGATTTCTCCCATCGTCAAATGTTGCTTTAACTCTCTTCAAGTCCATTAAGGAAACAATAAATACAAGGTATAGTTTACTAAGTTAACCCTATTAAATGCGTTTTAAGAATCGGACAGTTTTAAAAAGAACTACTACATCTTTAATATTAAGTGTATAGTTTAAAATAATTGACAAATTCTAGTCTCGAATTCTAAAGTGATAATTATTTTAAGCTAAAATGAGTGTTAATTTGGGAGTAGAATAACGAAAAAAATGGAAAAGCTGAGAAGTCAATGTCTTTGGGAGCTTAAAATTGACGAAGATAAATATTGTCATTGTCAAACATTTGGAGCAAGTCAAGACCAAATTCACAATCTAACAGGTGTATATCACGGTAAAATTTATATATGAGCTGTATATTCATCTGTAATTTTTAACTATTTGCTATAGCATCTCATTGTTGACTATCCTAGAAACCATCTACATTGTTAACAGGTAAAACAAACAATATGAGTTGATTCTGTTATGTTTAGGCTGAAAATCCACTTAATATAGTCAAAAGATTTCTCTTATCCTAGATTAAATATGCTTTAAGGTGAAAATTTGTTGTCAAATACTTTTGCTTTTTCCACTAACAGAAAGTAGAGAAGCCTGAGCCTTCTACTGAATCAAGGGACAAAAATGAAGGCAGCAGCACAACATCTGCTTGGGAAGTGAAGGAGTTACAAAGTAGGGATGGACAAACAAGGCTCAAAACCAATGTCTTCTTTGCATCTTTTGACCAGTGTAGCGACAAGGCTGCTGGTGAGAGCGCCTGTACAGCACTAGTCGCTGTGATCTCCCATTGGCTGCAGTCGAATAGAGATGCAATGCCCACGAGGTCAGAATTCGATAATCTCATACTACATGGTTCCTCAGAATGGAGAAAGTTATGCCAAAGTGATACTTACATCAATGTTTTCCCAAACAAGCACTTTGATTTGGAGACTATCTTGCGTGCTGGTATTCGACCTATAGCCATATCGCATGATCAATCCTTCGTTGGATTCTTTAGTCCCGAGAAATTTGAATCATTGCAAGGGGTAATGTCATTCGATCAAATATGGGACAAGATTAGCAGCATTGCAGAAGACACTGCATTTGAACCTAGAGTATATATTATAAGTTGGAACGATCATTTCTTCGTGTTGAAGGTGGAAGCTAACGCTTATTACATTATTGATACATTGGGAGAAAGGCTATTTGAGGGTTGCAATAAAGCATACATTTTAAAGTTTGACGACAACAGTACAATGTATGAGAAGGTTAACGCGGAGGAGAAGACACAGAAAAATGATACTAAGGCTAAGGAAGAAATAATATGTGATGGGAAAGAATGCTGCAGAGAATTCATCAACAGATTTCTCGCGGCTATCCCTCTAAAGGAACTCGAGGAGCAAGAGAAAAAGGAGACAGTTTCTTATTTCTCTCTACATCATCGGTTGCAGATAGAGTTCAATTCGAGTTACTTGCTATCTTCTTCTTCGTCGTCTTTAACATCATCCCCTTTCTCTTCTTCTGCTACTTCTACACCTTCCTATTTGTAAGATGCATAGTATTTAATTTGCCTGGTGTGTATCAGAGTACTGCTAATGTGAATGCATTATCATATAGCAAGCACAATTAGATTGTCTCTGTTTTCACACTCAAAATATGCAGACCTGCGCAAATATGAATGTGTACCTCCACAAATAGGAATGTGTTAATATAAACTCAACAAGATGGACAGCCAATATGGTCCGCGTGTTAGGATCGAAATAATCAGGTGTCATGCTGAAACTAGCAAAACAAACCTTGAACAACGATAAAGTCAATAAAAGAGAAATATATCAAAAGAGACACAAACATCTAACGTGGTTCGATCAATTGACCAACATCCACGGCGAAAATGAGCAATGATCACTATATAAAAGAGAGTACAAAATATCGAGTTCTCCCCCTAAACAACCTCACAAAGAGGCAAACACAAGTGACGCACTAACACTTGTCCCGAAAAATTCTCGCCCTAAATAGGACTTTCAAACCCCATATGGCTACATTTTGGATGCTACCAGTGGCGAAGCCACATGGTCATAACCATTCGTCGAAAAATTACACTGTGTACATAAGTAAAATATTATGTTTTAGAGTTATATAACACATATTGAACATCCTTTGTTAGAAATTTTTTTCACTTATTTTAAATTTGAACACCCTTGGAGAAATTCCTAACTTTGCCACTAGATGGTACTCAACGAGAAAAAAGGACCCTCAATTAATAGAAATCCAAACATTTTCTTCCAAGAAAAGGGACTAGAAAAATACGGGAGATTTATAATTTCCTTCTAGGAAAAGAAAAACTCAATTATGGTAAATATGTTGCACTTTCATTCAATAGATAGAAAAACCAAATCAGAACCCTTAAATCCAAACCATATTTATGTGACAACTACACCTCAGCCAGAAAGCTAGTTTGCCTTGGCTATATGAATCCTCCATATCCATTTTACTCCATTTGGGCTTGATCTGATCCAATATTCAACAACTTGTCATTCAGGGTAATTAATAGTTCAAACCTATGCCAAGATGGCATACAATCTCTAACAATACTAGAAAGACCTATCAAACACCAAACCTAATGTAAGTGTACGGTAAAAGGCTAAACCAACCAACTAGCCGATAAAGATGCTTTGTTTCCTTCGTGTTGTGTTCTTCGATAAGACATCATAGATTCCAAAAAATTTTAAGTCTTTTTGAAACAACTTCCCGTCTTGTAAATTTAAGTCTACACCATCTCAACACCTTCAAGCATCATGGTGTCGCATCTACGAACTTGCCTTCTTGTTATTATTATTATTATTCTTACTATTATCCAAACCAAATTAACACTACTTATTAGCTATACTTATTTTATCATCATCTATATAATATTTTTAGATTATTTTAATTTTAAGTATGACTTATTAATTAATAATATTTTCTTTATGCAATTTTATTATCTTTGTTATTGAATATTTTAGTATAATACTATGACTTATCTCATATAATTGCATTATTTTCTTGGAAAAGATGTTAAATAGTTGTATCTTACTAGGACTAACGAAATATTTAGAGCACAAGTTACATATTTTGTGCTAACCGGGAAAAAAAAATCCAAAAACCAGAAAATATCGAGATTGAAAAACCTGACTTTATTGGTTTGGTTTGATTTTTAGATTTAAAAACTCGACGCCATTGGTTTGGTTTGGTAATTGAAAAATCCGAATCAACTGACATATACTATATACACCCCCTAAACATAAAGTTGGAGTAGTAGCGTCGCTTTCAAAGTGGAAATGCTCTCGACCTTATCTTAATCGAAAATGACATGAAAATTATTACTTCTTTGAAAAGTAATTTCGAATCATGATCATTTGCAGGTTAAAAAAAGGTAGAAAAAAGGATAGAGATAATGCTACTGACTGCAGTCTGAAAAGGCAATAAGATAAGTTTGTTAGGGAGGTAAAACTTTTGGCGTCAAAGCTTGTGCAACGATTTTCCTTTTCTCTTTCTAATTTATTTAATCATTCGATCATATACCGTAGAATTAATCCGAATCTGCTAATCATATGGGAGCCTCGTTTGGCCTGCCAATAAAACGATGTTGATAGCATAGAATTAGTGACTTTCTAATATTAGGATTATTACAAGAATCATTTGCCGATTATTAAACTCGATTTCTGGTACATTAAAGTTAATTTTCATAGACACAGAGCATGCATTAACGTGACCACTTTCCTAATTTATGAATCGAACATCCGCTATATATTGCTAGAGAGTATCGTCCGTTTCAAAACAAAAGATACACTAAATAAAAAATATAAGAGAGAAAAACGACCAAAAAAGGACAAAAGGTAGGGAATAAAATGTCCGTGACGGGTATGTAATGTAATACCAACATATCACATATGTCCATATGTCAGTTTTTTTTCAGTCAACTAAAATCCAATATAGGAGTAATTCAAAAAGCTATCGTCCCCACCTCCCATTCCCCCCTCTTTTCCGTTTCCACTTAACTTCTTCGTCCCACCCACCACTTGCCACTCCACCCATAACATTAGCCATAAATTAACCACCGTTTTGCTTTGATTCACACTGCATTCTTGAAAGTGAATTATTCAATAGTAAAAGTTTCATAGAACATAAGGCGGCCTCGCTCAACGAGTTAATAAAATTTGTATATTAAGGTAAGAAACACGACATGTGAACTTTTTCCTTTTTTACATGCTAAATTCTTAACTTTTCTTCTATTTTGGTGTCGAATGCAAATCACAGGATCATAGCCGGAGCAAGTGCATCATTGTTTTCATCTCGAGATATTTTTGTATTCATAACCTTAAAGTTTTGAATTGAGTCTTAATGTCAACTCCAAGTTCTCCCCTCGCTTCCCCTACCTCCAACGCCAACCGCCACCGTCGTCGCATCTCACTTCCACCATGGAAAGGTGCAAAACCAATACCACTAGCCATATCCATATTAATAGGCATACTCTTTCGCTTCGCCGTACCAAAACCCCACCAACTCTCCACTAAAGCATGGCAACTCTTAGCCATTTTCCTTACAACTATCTCTGGTCTAATCCTCGGCCCATTGCCAGTGGGCGCGTGGGCTTTCCTTTGCCTCACGCTCACCGTCGTCACGAAAACCTTAACATTCGCTGCAGCATTTGCTGCATTCACCAATGAAGTCATTTGGTTAATTGTTGCATCATTCTTTTTCTCAAGAGGGTTTATTAAAACTGGACTTGGTGATAGAGTTGCTTTGTGTTTTGTGAGTTGGCTTGGAAAAAATACTTTGGGTTTGTCTTATGGTTTGGCTTTGAGTGAGGCGACAATATCTCCGGCTATTCCAAGTACAACTGCAAGGGCTGGTGGGATCTTCTTGCCCATTATTAAGTCATTGGCTGTCACTGCTGATAGTCACCCAAAGGATGATTCTGCTAAGAAGCTTGGTGCTTATCTTGTTCAATCTCAGTTGCAGGTTACCATTTATTCACTCCCTAGTATACAACATCAATCGCAATCCAGTGAAATGAGTCTGGGGTTATTCACTTCCTAGTATGTTTAATTTATATTTAACTTATAAAATTGCTTTACCCTTTTAGTGCAATTTAACTAGTTATAATAGGTTATTGCTCCATATATATTTCAGGAAATGCTATTAGTTTATTGTGGGGGTGTCAAATGGACAGATTTAGCTAACTTTGAGCGGGTCATAATGGGTTGAGTCGATAAATGGAAGGGTCATTGAATCCTCATGAATCAACTTTAGATGGGTTGAGATGAGTTGGGTCAAGATGAACTGAGTTCAACAAATGGGCGGGTCAACGACCGACCTAACCTGTACTTAATGGGTTTGGGCTCAAATTGCCACCCCTTTTTTATTGTTGTTGAAGTATATCTGTATATTACATGTTTGTGTGTTATTTCTGTTTATACATCAGATGTTGGATTTTCTGTCTTTTATGCCAAGTATTTATTTTGTGGTGTACTATTACAGTGTTCTAGTAGCTCAAGTGCCCTGTTCCTAACAGCTGCTGCACAAAACCTGTTGTGTGTGAAATTAGCAGAGGGGTTAGGAGTAAAAATATCAAGTAAATGGCTCACTTGGTTCAAGCTCTCATGTATACCTGCACTTGTATCTCTTTTAGCAACTCCAGTTATTCTATACAAGATTTTCCCTCCAGAAATGAAGGACACACCAGATGCTCCATTAATGGCTAGAAGGAGGCTGGATCAGATGGGTCCTATCAAAATTGATCAGTGGGTGATGATGATAGTCATGCTTGTAACCGTAGCACTATGGATTTCTGGGTATATCAACTTTTTCCTCCTGATTTCATTCTTCCTTTTTGTTGTCTACTGTTAACCTGGATTTTTAGGGGTGTCAAAATATATAAACACACCAAAAAATTAAGGAGAGTCAATATATAGTATATATGCTATATAAAAAAAATTCCTACCTACACCGTATATTTTTTCCTAGGAAGCGGTGTCAATAGCGGCGGAACCGGGAAATTTATCTAGGGGTTCAAAAAATAAAAAAAATTAAACATGCGGAGAAGTCAAGGGGATTCAACATATATATATATACATATATTTTTTTTACCTTATATAAGCAGTGTAATTTTCCCGCGAAGAAGGTTCGGGTGAACCACCTTCCGCTCCCTAGCTCCGCCGCTGGGTGTCAATGCCCCTTGCTATAAGCTGACTCTGACACTGCTTATGAGCTAACTTTTTGGTTGAGTTAAGCGCAATATCCATTTTTTAAAAATGATATTAGAGTCGGACTCATCTCAATTTCTGGTTATCTAAGTGTTGCAATCTTTTCTTTTCTCTACTTCTCTATTTCATCAACTGTTATATATAATACAGGGAGGCTCTTGGACTAGCAAGTGTTATCACGGCAATGCTGGGATTATCACTACTTTTGGCGTTTGGAATACTTGATTGGGATGATTGCTTAAGTGAAAAATCAGCATGGGATACCTTAGCTTGGTTTGGTGTACTAATAGGGATGGCAACACAATTAACTACTCTGGGAGTTGTTGCCTGGATGTCAAATGCTGTGGCTAACTTCCTCAAATCTCTATCCCTACATTGGTTTGGGGCATTTTGTGTCCTTCAATCAGCATATTTCTTTATTCACTACTTGTTTGCTAGTCAAACTGCTCATGTTGCAGCTTTGTACTCTGCATTTCTTGGAATGTGTTTGGCATCAAAAGTTCCTGCTCTCTTTGCTGCATTGGCTTTGGGATACAACACTAACCTTTTTGGTGCATTGACACATTACAGCAGTGGTCAAGCTGCAGTATACTATGGAGGTAATTTTGTTAACTCATGCAGTATTAGGTAGGCCCCTACCACAGGGGTGGTAATTTAAGCCCAAACTCATTCAACCCGCCCAAGCCGTTCAAGGTTGGGCCACACATTGACCCGCCCATTATTGAACTTAGCCTATCTTGTAGCCCATCTAAAGTTGGGTAAATTTTTTGTCCTAATTGATTCATGAGCAACTTTGCTAAAATATCTCTAAAGTAATTCTTTTTTGTTTGATATGTTAAATATGACCATAACAAAAGAAAAGAGTCTTATTTGGTGCTTAAACAATTAATAAGAAAACAACACCCATTAATTAAAGTTTGGTAAGAGTTGGGCGAGTTGGACTATGACCCAAATTTTAACCCATCTTGACCTCATCCATCTCAGCCCAAGTAATTTTTGGGCAGATCATTGTCCGTTCATTTATTTACTCAATCCATTTTAACCCGCTTAAAATCAACCCAACCCGCATTAGCCAAAAATTTAACTCTTATGCGGGGTACGTGTATGGGTAGAAGAGGGGAAAAACATAAAGCTAGATGCATTCGAAAAGTTTAATTTTGAGGAAGTTGAACTAATCTCATTTCATTGCTCTTCTTTGACAGCTGGTTATGTGGAACTACGTGATGTCTTCAAATTGGGCATTATATTTGCTCTTATTAATATTGTCATATGGGGATTAGTAGGAGCTGGTTGGTGGAAGATTCTTGGTCTTTACTAAGACTAAAATATGTAAGTGAATGTTCATTTTTCCTTTCTTATAGTAATATTTTTCTAAGCAAGCATTCTTGGATTATGTAAATACATCAAAAGAATGCAGCTGCAAAGTTCCCTGTCACTAATGACCAACTTAAATTATTGTCAGAATGTTCAAACTCACCCCATGTTTTGTGTATTTTGATTCTTTAATTGCTACATAAGAATCTATTATTGAGCTTGCAATATGTAACAGGCATTTTCTGGTGTAAGAACTTCAGGATCGGCTGTATTTCTAATTGAAGTCAGTTTGATTGGCACAAGAGGCTCATAATGTTTTTTGAAGGTACTACCATCTGAGCTTTTATTTTGGCGGAGTTAAAACATACATTTTGTCATCCTAAGCTTTGTTGCATCATTAGATTAGGGATCTCATCCTTGACCAGAGGCCTCAGGCTCGAGTTCTGGATATGGAGCCGCCTTTATTAGAGAGCGCTTGACCCCTAATATGGGAGTTTCCGGCGTGAATATGGATTTAATCAAGTCCCGGATACTAAACACCGGGTGGAACCAAAGAAAAGTAGATTAGGGATCTTCTGATGCAGTTTACTGTCGCCGTGGAACTTGGCTTCTAACTGAATCTTAAAGAAAGGTTTTTGCTTGGACCAATTTCTCAAATCCCATCACTTGGACATGCGTAATAACTACCTTTATGGAAAAATTAGCTTTAATCTTCGCATGACTTATTAGAGCTAAGTGGTGTTAATTAATGCTCTACCAGGCGCAAAGCCACATGTCCGAAAGGGTGGTTAACCGACCACCTTTCATCGGAAAATTACACTAAGTATATAAGTAAAACATTATGTTTTATAGATATATAATATATATTGAACGCTCTTTGTCGAAGAATTTTTTTACTTCTTTAAAATTTGAACATCCCTGAGAAAATTCCTGGTTTCGCCACCATGCTCTACTATAATAAGCCCTCTCGTGCAAATGTTATTGTTTATCTAAAATAATGTGATACATTGCTACTTCATTTGAGAGAAAATATTAAGCATAATACTAGGATATGAGGACAGCTACGTATTGCAAGTTTGGTTCTCCGGAACTCAATCAAGAACCCAAAGAATGAGCCATATGTTTCCACAAATCTATCATTTTAGCCAAATTATTTGAAGGAGAGCCTTGGAGTAATGACAAAGTTGTCTTCGTATGACCTATAGGTCACGGATTTGAGCCTTGAAAGCAACCATTAATGCTTGGATAAGGATATGTTACATTAACACCCCTTGGGGTGCGGCCCTTCTACGGACCTTGTGTACTGAGCTGGCCAAAAGTAACAAGCATTTAGATGATCACAGAAGTTAATTATACGGTTATCTTTGATGTACTTCTTTTGTTTTTGATCATCAAATCTTAATACCTGCAGCTCTCTTTGATCCATTACAGGGAGGGAACTTTAACTCATGCACTTGCTTCAAACTTCTGCTTAATGGATTTAATAGAAGATGACATTTCTTCAGTTGGTGTATTCTCAATTAAAACTTCAGAGAAGAAAAATATCAGATTGGCAGGTGATTTATCTGTACATAAAATTCATGTAAACGGAAAGTGTCGTTGTAAACTTTCCTAATTGAAGATGTATATATTCACTTGAGGTTGATTACTCCATTATATCATTCGAAGAATCAGACCTTCTAACAAACTATGCATTTTTTTGTTATAATTTCCAATCGGAAGATCCATTAATTTAACCAACAGAAGATCTGATTTCACAGATGATACAACATAGCAGTAACCATTTTAGGAAATTAAAAGGCAGATGCAACCACAGTAAGATTCAGGGGCGGATGCAATGTTGCGGTAATAGGTTCATCCGAACCCCATACTTTCAATGTGGAGCATAAATATATGTATAAATATCACTAAATTATAATAAAATAATAGATATGAACCTATATTTTAAAAATAAAATGGGTTTAGCGTTGAGAACCTTAAAGGTTGATAATCAACCGTTGATCCCATAAAGTTTGAATCCTAACGTGCCCAACTTTTTCTCTGTTTTTTTGTTTAACAATTGCGCTGCTTAGGCCCATTTAAGATGGAAGCGCTGCCTCTCCTTTAATACGAAGTCTTTTTAGTATTAAGATTAGCTACAAGAAGTCATATGAAGTAAAAGTTGGAATGGTTGTTAAAAACGACTTTCACTATAAGCGAGGAGACTAATTTCAGTAATGTTTGTATTCTTCTTTTTCCATTAGTGTACTCATCCTTCTAAGAAAATACAAGAAAGATAACTAGACAGGTAGGACCCCTAAATTCAAGACATTTTTTTTGACATTTCTTTCTCTGACTGCTTTGTTAGGTACTGGAGCAGACAATCTTCCCTGCTGAAACCAGTAGATAATGGTTGTTCAGTTTTTTCATGAATTACTGGCCCTATTTGAGGGTGGTTTAGAGGCAAGCGTTTGTTTACTGTTGCCACTTAGAAGGACAAACATTATCAACATTCATTCATGTTAATATCAAATATCAAGAAAGGACAGTCAAGTGCACAAAACATTACGCATTTAAGTAGGGTCTAGGAAATGCCGCAGACATAGACAGCCTATCCTGAGGCAAGCATAATTCCCAACTCGAATATGTAATCTATAGGTGACTCAAAGACAACTTTACCATTGCTCCAGCCTCCAAGGCTCCCCTTATTTAATGTTAATCTCACTTTTGTTTGAATCAAGAATGATACGATAACCTGGAAAAAAAAGTAATAAATTGATATAAACGATTAATTGCACTAATACTATAAAAGTTTTTCACGTTGTCAGCGTATATAACTTAAACTCATCTCTATAAAATGTTATAGATCATGGATCTATATACAAAATAATGGTATTGAAAAGATTTGTAGCATGCACATGCCAAGCTCAATATCCGTAATATCTATCTCTAAGTTTAGGCAGAATAGAAACCTCATTTGGACAGAAATTTCTTTCAATAAATGAAATTATTAATTATGATGGTAAATGCATTTGAATAAATGTTAACTTTATGTACAAAACTTTTATATCAATGTACTCTATGACTCATGTCACCACTAAACGGCCCTTTTTTCTTGAAAAAAGATCGTCAAAAATCTGCCTGTGTCATAGTGGCTTTCGAATCAAGAAAGCATCAGATATACAATCATGGTGTATAAAGTGTGAAAATCGCTCACTCAACTCATGCAATAGAAGTAAAAAGAAAATATAGGTCATGTGCAAAACCGCAGTCCTTTCACTAACATCATTTCCAGCACTTGGGTTTTTCAGAAAAAGAAAACACACACACACAAGAAAAAGAGAAAGATAAATACTTAAAGACTCGTTTGGTAAGACGGATAAATGATAGTTAATCCCGAAATTAAATTTGAAACGAGTTTATCCCACATTTGGTTGGGATAAAAATAACTAATCCCAGGATTATAGTGTTATTTTTATGGGATAACTAATCCCGAGATAATTAATCCTGGGATAACTTGTTTCCCAACAAAAATGACCCCTTACACTATGTGTTAACACGTAATCTAGCAATTTAACCTTACTAGTAAATAACTAAAATGAAAGTACATCACTTATCCTAATAAATGCTTACACTATGTTTTGCACTAATTGGTTTCGTGTAAACATAGGGTGTACATAAAGAAAATACTAGTAGAAGGGGGTCCAGTTATCCCCATTTCAGTAACCAGATCTTGTGAAATGATCCTTCACTTCAGTTGGAAAGCAACAAAGTCCCTGTCCATAATTTCATCCCCTTACACCCTACTTCATTACTTCTACAGTGTATGTATAGTGTGGTCTTATCTTTTTCTTTTGGGACCATTTGGCTTTGTTGATGGATCTTGAATGTACAATCCAAGTGGGGTTTATGCAAGAATCACAAGCAGATGCCTCCTTCCCAGCCCCCATCTCTCTTTAAAAGTACAGATATACCAAATGAAGATTAAGAGCAGAGAAACAGCCTTGTTCACAAAGAAAGTAGCACTTGATCTTTCTACATGGATTTGGAATTCATTGATATCAACACTTCAAAAGTGGCACTTTTCTGAAAAAGACCCTTCATTTCACTTCAAAAGCAACACGACCTTCTTAATCAATCACTTCATCCTTACTCCCACCACGTTATTACTGCCACAGTCTTTAGTGTGGTCTAATTTTTGGACCATTATGGCCATGGATCGTGTGAAGGAAGCCTTGGCGTAACTAGTAAAACTGATGTCATGTGACCAAGAGGTCACGGGTTCGAGCCGTTGAAACAGCTTCTTGCAGAAATGCAGGGTAAGGCTGCGTACAACAAAACTCTTGTGGTCCAGCCTTTCCCCCGCGCATAGCGGGAGCTTAATACACCGGGCTACCCTTTTTTGGTAGGTCGGTGGATCTTGAATGTAAAAGTCAAGTGGACAAAGAAAGTACCACTGGATTTTTCTTCAAGGATTTGGAACTCATTGAATTTAAACACTTCAAAAAGGAGCAGTTTGCAGCATACAAAGTTACAAACAAACCTCATCAAAGCAAATACAAAACTACAGCTAGGAGACTACAAGACACAGACTATCACTTTCCTATTCCAAAATTTGTCAAAGTAACTACTGAAACTAAAGTTAATAACCTATGACCTGAACTTGTTAAACGGGAGCTTCACCGGCCAATAAATCTGCTGATCCTCAACGAGTTTTCGCTTTTCCAAAACTGATGCTACTTTCGTATTTTTGCCATTGGAACTCGTTTTTCTTGAAGATGATTCAAGCTGATTTTTATCAGCATTTTCCTTTAAGAAGAAAGACAAACCTCTGTTGAATTGTGGAGTTAGATCATTCAAGTTGCATATATCACCACCTTTGTTCTCCTCAGGCAAAGTGTTGTCAACACTAGTGCACGGAACCACAAAAGAACCCAAACGCAGCGATAAGTCACACCCAATTACATCTTCACAATCTGCCCGAGAAGCTACTTTTGAAGCGTTTAAGTTACTTGACCGAGGATTTCTTGGAGCAAACTTCTTGTTCTCATCCACAAGCATAGCATTTGAATCGGGATCACGTCTAGAGCCAAATTTGTTACCAGAAGGTTCAAATTGAGAACCGTAATACAAAGGATACATAGAGCAAGAATTAGGTGAGGCACGAGCAGTCTGCATTGGCAAAGTTTGTATACCAACAGATGGAGGAAATTTCAGAGTTGAGAAAGGAAACATTTTGTTAGCTTCTGAGCTAGAAGGGTTTGGATTTTTGACTGTAGCCGATAAAAATTTATGATCTTTGGAGACAAATGGACTACTAGGAATAGGATTTCCTCTAATTCTGTCATGGGAATTTCCAGAATTAGACTCTGGAGTTAAAGGGCTTAGATAATATCTTGGAGAACTGTTCCTTTGGCTTCTTGATGACCTTTTTGGAGAGCAACCCAAATGCAAAGCAGCTAATCAATCATGCAACAAAAAATATGTTTCAATCAAATCATCCACTATGCAAAACCATAACTAAACAATTATATCAAGAACCATAATCCCAACTTCTAAAGAGAGTATGCACAAATTACAGAACTTGAAAAGTTAGAATGGAGATGCTGTCACGTTAAAAAAGGGCAGCCCGGTGTACTAAGCTATCGCTATGCGCGGGTCCGGGGAAGAGCCGGACCACAAGGGTCTATCGCACGCAGTCTTACTTGCATTTCTGCAAGAGGTTGTTTCCACGGCTCGCGGTCACATGGCAACAACTTTACCAGTTACGCCAAGGCTACCTTTCAGACGTGTCACATTGCAAACTGAAAATCAACATTGGCATATGACTAACAAAAAAAGAGGAAAGGCAGATTGAGGGGTACCTTCAATGCAAGGTTGTAAGAGGTCTCTAGATTCTGATTCAGTACTATCATCTCTTCTAATAACAGTGTCAATTGCATCACTCAATCTATCCCAAAGAGTTTTAAGATCCATATATTCAGCCTATGCAAACAAGAATTGGTAAGAATAAAACACAAATAGATAGTTAAAAAAAAAGGGGAAATTGGTAAAAGCATTAGACCCTCAACCTCAGAATTGGCCTTGGAATACAAAATTTCCTCAGCTCTCAAGACAACTATAGGGAGCTTCTCTTGCCATTCCTTATTCTTCTTAGTTGCTGAGCCATGTATCTCATTCACAATCCTACTCTCAACAGACATAAGCAATCATAAAAACAACTTCTCATGGTTTTGAAAATGTATTAAAATGATTGGAAAGGAAAAAAAAATACCTGAAAATTTCTTGAATAAGGGAACCTCTGATGGGTTGGTGTCTATCACTATGCCAAGCTTTTCTAACACATTCATAGGGTCTTGGACCAGGTTTAGGCATGTTTCAACAACAGAGGAAGAAGAAGAAGAAGCTACAATATGTATAAAACTAGAACAACTAAAAATTCTTGTACTTAAATTGAGGTTTAAAAGGGCTTGAAAACATGTCTTGTGACTTCCAAGTGGACCCTTTTGGCTGCAGATTACATTTTTAAGTTATACAGTACTAGAGAAACTACCAATCCTTTTATTAAAAAAAAAAAGGTTCAACAGTGAAAAAAGGAGGAAGGGATTTGGCGTAATGGGTAAAGGTGCTGACGAGTAGGTTATGAGTTCGAACTGTGAAATCGATGACTTCTTGCAAAAATATAGAATAAGATTGCGAATAATAAATATTTGTGATTTGGTACTTTCCTAGATCCCGATATAACAAGAGTTTAGTGCATGGGATGATACTAAAGTAAAAAAAGGAGAAATAACAAAGTAGGTGTTAGGGGAAGCTAGCACTTACTATTAAAATATTTGGCTTTCTTGAAATAATCTTCTTTTTCATTGATATGTCATTCAGCACAATAATTCACAGGGGGAAGTTTGTAATGATATAGTAGTAGTGAAGAGTGTCCCCCACTGATACACATGCCTGCTTCCCCAGGCCCAAAGGGTCATTGCTCCCTCTCTCTTTCCTGACCATTCATTCATGAGCTTTGTCCTTGTGGGGTAATATATATATAGTAGCTATGTAGAAAAAAGTTATGATGTATAATTGTCACTGTCGGTAGGGGGGAAATTGCTAGGCAAACCCCAGCCTCATAATATACTATCTAATCCACTCTTCTTTCCATTGTGCGTTTCACTGTTACAGCGCCCCTTTTACTCTTTAGCATTATTGTTTAAACGTTTTAAAATTACCTTCCATTATAATTTTAAGTTGTCACACCCCGACTTTATACAGAGTCCCACATCGACAAAACACAAGAAAGATGTTGAGTATATAAGTTAATAAGCCTTGCGTTTTAAACTCGTGAGGGTCTAGGTCTCACATTTAACACATGCTAGTCGAACAAAAAAAATAAGTTGTGTGTTTTCGGTGACAAACAAGTGAGTAAAGCATAAGAACGTGCTTGTGGGAGAAAAATAATGCTGAAAACGGCCGCTAATACCCTCTAGGTTGAAGAGTAAATTGAGTAATTTACTCGACAATATGATTTTTCTCTCTTTGCCTAAAGTCAGTCAAAACTATTTTTGAGCAAAACTTATTGTCAAAGGATTATTTAGCTGAAATGTTACTACTCCTATTAGAAGAAATATTTTCACTTGATACAGTAATATGGAAAACATTAAAAACTCCTTACTTCATATATTTGCATTAAAAACATGTGTGCTACCAACCATGGTTCCTTCTATTTAAATTATTTAATTCATCACCAATACACTCTTTAATTCACCTGAACAGTATTCTGGTTCTTACAATTTGCTGTCACTCTTGTATTTGTAATGATTTGTCTTGAATTCAATTAGATATTGTTGGAAAAGAATCCTGCAAAATGTAGCTCTTTAATTGCATAAATCTTGAACTTGAATTGGATAGACCGAAGTCTTTCTTCCCATATCCGATAAGCCTTTTACCGACTCTTTCAAATCCACATTTTGTTTGAAGTGAAAAAGAAAAGTAAAAGAAGACTACAAATTCTTATCTGGGGTAGCTAAAGAGAAGTAGTACTTATATCCTAATTTCTTTATCAATTCCAAGTTAATTTGTACTCTCTTTTTAATCTAACTTTTAATTTACTTTGTAGGATCAAAGTATTTGTAGAACTTCAACCCATATTTGTATTATCGCCAATTAAGACTCAGCTCATGTGCTCATGCATTTATCACCATTATAGAAAAGAATTATTTCGTCGCAGAAACTTATTCATGCTGACCACCCTTAAAGTAGCTACAAAAAAAATATACATATCGCATCTAGGTGCAGATGTAGCCTTTAGATATCTAATTTATCTGAACCCAATAATTTTGGCATAATGCATAAACTTATATATAAGAATCTACCAAAATAGCAACAAATAGAAGGTACGAACACATAAATTTAAAGATGTAATATGTTCAATGGTAAAAATCTTAAATATTAAACTCATAAAATTAAAATTCTGAATCCGTTTCTGGTAGTATCGACTAAAATAAAGAATAAAGTTGCCAACAACGATTATGCACAAAAGGATTCAAAAGAGGTATGTATGGGTCAAAATCTGACCACACGTGGATTAGCGCTAAAAGGAATGATAAGGGGTCGACTAAGCCATGGTCGTACCACAAGGCGTAATAACGATTAGTATCTCGGCCACTATCGAGATCGAGCTATCAGAAAGCTTGTACGGCAAAATGTATATCGTAATACTTAAGGGGAGCGATGAAAAGTATAATCGAGAGATTAGGTATTCTGGCTAAAGACCGTTGAACAAAAGGGAATATGTATAATATATATAGGAGGGAAGAAGAGGAAAAAAGGGGCTTCCCTCCCACAAGTAGGAGGGACAGAAGAATAGAAGAAGATCTCCTACAACAATAAAGCGAAAGTCTAGATCTTGGTTGTAAATCTTTGTAATCGTCATTGCTGAATCAATAAAGACATATCTCATAGCTATCAATGGCATTCATTCTTTTCCTTCTTTGCTCTTACACTACAGAACAATACGTCAAAGATGTAAGCTTATCGTTTATGTTTGATGTCTTTTTATAATCTCAAAAAGAGTTATAAGCTCGGTTATATTCGATTCTCGTATTCAATGTGCTTAGATCTAGAGTTAATTATTCTTGGCCAAAATTTATCCTCCATTTTCTTCATTAATTAGTTTAGCAAAAAGCTTAACACTTTTTGGTCAAACAATTTGGCGCCATCTGTGGGGATTTCTTAGCCAAATTTTTAGCTTTCTTTAGATCTAAAACCAGCCCAGTATCACTTCTAGACTGTCATAGCCTCACCATCTCGGTATAAATACCAACTCGAAAAAGTGATAGATAAGCTTTTGAGATAACCAAACCAATCTGGGCCGGATCTCTACATGAAATCGAAATTATGTCTGATGCTTATGCAAAACCCATGCCTCATCTGTAGCGATGTGTTTGGCACGTCATATGCATGTTCAAAGTAAAATCACGGTCACCACGCACTTAGCATGACCGCAATCCTATTTAACGTATTTACTTTATATACCGGCCTGAACTCCCACCTCTTAGGAAGGGACGATAGTCAACTATGCGATTTTTCGAAAAAATGGGCGTATCTTGCATTGTTCTCGTACCCATACGCACTCTGTGATTTATGAACAAAGCATAACATGTTTCCCTTATTGTTTGTGCATATCGGAAGGGATCGGATCGGGACTCGGTCTCGAGATCTCAACGGGCAAAGTTCAGCCTACGATAATCCTAGACGCAACTAACGACAAATCCAAACACGGCTGCCAAATTTGAAACCGCCATTTGAGCACGGGGCGAAGCAAGTAATCCTACAGCGTCATTCCCCCTTCACCGACTTACCAGGCCAATGTAACAGACAATTTCATTTGGATTTAACCTATTATACTCTCTTTTTTGGCTCAGAACAGGAATGCGAGCATTCTCACAGGTACGCAAATAAGGAACGAACGCTACCCAACACACCAGGAAAATGTTCCGTAACATACCATCTCGCAAGCAATGACCGAGAGAAGCCCTCTGCGCCATACCGCATTGCAAATAACAGAAACAGCTCAGAACGGGTCGACATTATTAAGAAACAATCTCCGGAACCAGGGACTGAGCAACGAGTCCATGAAACGTACAGTCTCCCCAACCGGCAAAGCATAGGCTCGAAAAGTTTAGTGCCTAGTAACCCGAACAATAAGTTCATCGCCTGTCTCACCAACGGCCTTTCCAGGCCGAACAACGAAGGGACCAGATAAACTGGGACTCCACCGACACATACAAACTATGAACGACGCACAATACTCTCCAACAAAAGTAAAATTAAGCAAACGGGACTCACCCCGATGCACGCGCAAACAATGTGGTAACGAGTAACATTCTCCAATAAAAGTAATGCAATGGACAAATCTCACCATCCCTCCAAACCCGCTCATCTCCAAGAAAATAAAATTCGACTCTGCTCTAACTCGCAATGGGTTACGATTCGATCTTGCTCGAATTGACACCCCTATGGCCATCTCCAAGTGAGTTACAATTCGATTTCGCTCGATTTAACACCCTTACGACCATCGATCATCGCCAATTGAAAGGAAAGTTCGACCTCGCTCGAATATAAAAGTCAAAATTGACTTCGCCCAAGTTGGCATCTCCATGTTCGACCTGGCTCGAATATATAAGTCAAAATTGACTTCGCCCAAGTTGGCATCTCCATGTTCGACCTGGCTCGAATATATAAGTCAAAATTGACTTCGCCCAAGTTGGCATCTCTAAGTTCGACCTCGCTCAAATATAAAAGTCAAAATTGGCTTCGCCCAAGTTGGCATCTCCAAGTTCGACCTCGCTCGAATATATAAGTCAAAATTGACTTCGGCCAAGTTGGCATCTCCAACTTCGACCTCGCTCGAATATATAAGTCAAAATTGACTTCACCCAAGTTGGCAACTCCAAGTTTGACCTTGCTCGAATATACAAGTCAACACTGACTTCGCCCAAGTTGGAAAGTCTAAATTCGACCTCGTTCGAATATACAAGTCAATACTGACTTCGCCCAAGTTGGCAAGTCTGAATTCGACCTAGTTCGAATATACAAATCAAGGTTGATTCCGCCCAAGTTGGCAAATCAGAAGTCAATCTCGCCCGAACTTGCAGATCCAAAGTGAATTCATTCGGACTCACACAATGAGATCCAACCATGCTCGGATCAAGCAAACTAGATCCGCCCTCATTCAAATTCCCAATTAAAGAATTAGGGACTCATCACGGAGAAATCCTAAGATCTTTTTCCCAAGAAAGAAAAAAAAACGGGAGAGGAGAAAGAAAGCCAAAAGATATGCAAACAAAGGCGAAACAACTATTTTATTCAAATGTATGTGCGCAACAGCCGCTCCTTATAAAAGGCCAAAACGGGCCCTAAAAACGATGAAAATAAACAACAAAAGAACAAAAAAACTAAGTACAAAAGCTGCAACAAAGTTTCTCTCGGCGTCATCTCCACCGCCGTTCTCCCCATCATCATCATCATCATCATCATCAGGAATCCCATCCTCAATATCAACGCCCTCACCAACCTCCAGTGTCGCAGGGTCATAACCGTAGGCAATACGAGCCTCGTGTGCCTTCACCCGAGCACCTTCAAAGGCGACCTCAGGAACACTCCCCGCCTCCCACAAAACCTTGTATATATCTCGTTGGGCCTCGGTATGGACCCATAGATCATACAAGTGGCGGAGGATAGTGGCAGAGACAGATTCAGCCTGAGCCAACAGTTGCGCCTTCTCAGTCTCAAGAGTCGCGACCCGATCTCCCATGCTCGAAACTTCCCGATCAATTTTATCAATACGCTCCTCGAGCCGCACCTTCCTCATCATGGCCGTCGCCCTCTCAGATTCCTGCTTGGACTTGAGGATGCGAATAATGTCTTCTAGCGCCGCCGCCCTTGCCAGAGCCGACGCTCGAGCACCCTTAGCTCTCTCCAACTCGGCCACTTTCT